GTTGCTCGTCAAAACAAAGTTGCCCAGTAGCTTGAAGGGTGTCTGGCCTTTCAAAATTGCGCAAAGCAGAATTTTTGGAGCAAAAATCAGCACCTAAGGCGCCTAAATCAACGCCTCGAGTGGGAATTGGATCAGCCCGTGCTCTCAGGCCACTGCCTAGCTTTCCCTGATAAACCTTGGACTGATTTCCAGCACCTCTTGATGGAAAAATACTGCNCTCGAGTGGGAATTGGATCAGCCCGTGCTCTCAGGCCACTGCCTAGCTCTCCCTGATAAACCTTGGACTGATTTCCAGCACCCCTTGATGGAAAAATACTGCTGTCCAGCATTCCAAAGCCGCCCAGCGCAGCAGAACTGAAGCTGTCCAGCGCAGCTGAGCTGTCTAGAACAACAGAAGCAGTAGCCAGGCCAGGACAGCAAGGCCAGCGCCCAGGCAGCTGCCCAGCACGCCTGGGCTGTCCAGGACAAGAGGAGCAGAGCCCAGGCAGCCGCCCAGCCCCCCACCGCGCGCGTGCTGCCCAGCTGTGCGCCTGCGCTGCCCAGTCGCGCGCTCAGCCGCTTCCCTCGCTGTCCAAGCCACTCCTCGCGCTGCCCATCTCCCCTTCGCTGTCCAGCCCTTCATTTACAACCCCAAAGCTGTCCAAGACAGCATTCGAATGCTCAAAACCAGCCTCCAAGTTCTCCAAAATGGTGCCTACTTCCTCCCTTTCTTCAACCTCCACCACTCCCTCTTCAATCGACATTGTTTACTTGAGAAGCTCAACTAGCAAGGAAGAAATCACACTCTTGAAAGGATTCAAGGAGAACACACTTTGGCTTCAACAAAATGGGTAGGACTTGAGTTTTCAAGGTTTTCAAGAGGTGGGTGCTCAACCTTAAAAATGAGTGAAATGGGTAACATGAAGAAGAAGACTATATTTATAGTCCAGGGTTTTTCATAAAGAGGGAAAAAGCCCAACTATAAAATTATGGGTCATTTTCAAAATAAAAAGGTCAAATAGAATATTATGGGCCCTCTTCAAAATAAAGTGGGAAAGACTTGAAGTTTAAAAAAAAAAAAATAATAATAATAATAATATAGTCAATGCCTCCTTCTCCAAGTCTCATTGGACATGGGGCATTGGGGGGCAAATGATGGGTTAAGCCCAAATAGTCCAATTTATGTGTTAAAGTCCAACCCCAGTTGAGGAGTCCAACCTCATTTTGAATCTACCAAGCCCAAGACAGTCCAAGACCGGTTAGACTTTTTGCTTAGCACGTCATCAAGAGGAGAGCATGGGAAGCTTATCTGCACCACCGAAGGAAACGGTCCAATCTTTGACCGCGTTTCATGAAGAGCTCCCCAACCTCCTCCTTCCGTTGAGGATAAGTCGTGATCTCCACCAGAATGATCTTTTAGTGCTATAAAGTACCCTTGAGGATAAGTCATGATCTCCACCAGAATGATCTCTTAGCTGCGATAAAGTAGCCTTGAGGATAAGTCATGATCTCCACAAGAATGATCTCTTAGCTGCTATAAAGTAGCCCCAATCTGTTAGGAGACTACTATAAATGGCACGCCCCACCAACACTTACAGAGGACAGACCGACAACCGGAGACCACTGCTTCTTTGATTCTCCATTCTCTCAAAACTTGTATCTCTATTCTCCATACCTTTGAATTAATAAAATACCCGGCAACTGAAGTCATTGAAGAGTGACCGTAGGTCGAATTGACCGAACCACTATAAATCGTGTCTTCTTTAATTTTCTCATTGATTTCACTGCATTTATTACCTACACTTGACAGGTAGTGTGCAAAATCATTTTTGTGCATCATCAGTTATAATTGACCTAATAAATTTTCATACTTTGATAAATTTGTCTAATAACTTCGTTATTAATGACTAATAAAATTAATGTCAAAATCACATACATGTACACTAAACGATATACCATGTATTTTTTTTATTTTAAAATTTTGTGAGCAAGATCACATATCTGCTAGGCTTTAAACTCAATGTTAAAGTGTATATCAATAATAAATTGTCAAGTTAATCAAAAGATTTTAAAATAAACCTAATATGCCCAAACTAATCCGAATATACCCAAAGTGTGTCCACTGTTACTCATTTAGGTATGAGTGTGTACAAAATGATATGATAAGAAAATAGAGTAATACTATAGGGACCTAATTTAGGAATTTAATTCAATGTAATTGTTGAATTATTTGTGAGTTCCAAGGTTAGATGGAATTCACTTCTAATTCAAAGGTAATATTGGTTTAGGCCCCCAAGTTAGTTTCCAATAGCATTTTCCAAGAAAATAATTGAATGGACATAATTAGATATACTTAAAAAAAATATAATACACAATGGTAAAACAACAAATTTGAGGATGGACATGTGCAGATCTAAACACGGTCAGATTCACTTAATGAATGAGTAACAACCAGCAAAAAATTAGTGCAACCTCGCTTAGGTCGTAAACCATCCCAACTCCGGTGAATTGGGCCTTTGCATTGCATTATTAAATCGAATTCATTTATAATTCGATTTGTTTTTTATTGATTCCATACCGTGGATAAATATGATTTATTAGCTGGTATGTTATTTAGTTTGATTTTGACAATACATTTATTTAATGAGTTGAAAAGTTGAACGAATTTAGTCGTCTATCACCCCAAAATTACGATAAATAAATATAAACACAAATTTCATATCGATTTCACGTTAAATTCACCGACCATGTTCCAATCTAGTTCTAAACTTACGAGGCACACGACCACATATTGAAGTTAACTTTGCGTGGCTTAATAGCAGACGTTCCTTTTCATGAAAGCACTTTCGTGGTAATACAAAAAATAATCTCACTACCAATCTTCTGAGAGCCCGCTAGCATTTCTGGAATGAGACCAGTACTCCTTCACAAGTTGCCCAAATAGTGAGCCCTCCTCATTCAGTAGCTTCATTGGCTTGTCATACTCTACTAATCTTCCTGTTAATGAAAAAAAAAAAAAAAATCTCTATCAATGTTATACCAACTATTACAAAGACAACACAACATTTTTAATTTTTCTTTCTTAACACGATGCTTGGAATAGAAAACTCACCATCGCTAATAGCAAGAACCATAGTGCAGTCCATCACTGTTGATATTCTATGAGCAACTGTGATTACAGTGCAGTCTGCAAATTCTGTCCTTATGGTTTTCTGGATGATTGAATCTGTTGCATTGTCAATTGATGCGGTGGCTTCATCCAGCACTAATATCTTCCTCCTCTTCAACAATGCTCGACCCAGGCAAAATAACTGTCGTTGTCCCATGCTCCAATTTGATCCATCTTGTACCACTATAATGTCGCATTTTTAGTAATATAAGAACATGATTTCTAAAGGTTTGCACCTCTATACACAATCCTACTTACCTAAGGAGTTCAGGCTCTCCTCTTTCTCTTGAACAGCTTCTCGTAGCTGACATTTTTCGAGAACCTTTCATTGGCAGAAATTACAGTAAGATTCAGTTGATAAATTGTATGGTAATTTTTTTTTCCCCTCTAATGTTAAAAACCGCAACCTTACCTCCCATATTTCATGATCAGTATGCTCGGATGAGGGGTCCAGATTGTATCTTATAGGTCCACTAAAAAGGGTTGGATCTTGTGGAATAATCCCGAAGTGTGATCTGAGGTCATGGAGACCGATTGTAGATATATTTATGTCATCGATTATGATCTTTCCATCTGTAGGCTCTACCAGGCGAAACAAGGCGCTAATCAGAGTTGTCTTCCCACTACCAGTGCGGCCAACAATTCCAATTTTGTGTCCACCTTCAAAAATGCAGCTGATTCCGCGAAGAACAAGAGGAGCATTAGGCCGATATTTGACCTGTTTTATGTAATTTGTTGGCACATTGACATCCATAAGTCTGGAACTTGTAAAATAGACAGAAGAAATTGGTTATGTGATGCTCTATTTACCTTCAAATCATGGATCTCCACCCTACCAACAGTTGGCCAGTTGAGCGATGGCCTGTGGCCTTCTATGGTTTCAGGAGCTTCACTCGGAATATGCATGTATTGTTCTAACCTTTCCACAGAAACAATCAAATTTGATAGCATGCACTGGCTTTGGACGGAATTAACGACAAACAAATTCAATGAAAGCCCATATGACAGAGCCATTCCAATTAATCCTGCCATCACAACATTGATGACCCAAAAGTTTATTAGGAAATTATTGAAATGATGACTGTATCTTTTAACAATAAAACTAACTGAGCTGCAAGACAATATGAGAGATTTTTTTACAGGTGAAGATAGAGATCAGTAACCTGAGTCAGAAGCTTGAAAAGGAAGCAGAGTCATGGCAAGGGCTGAGGATGAGAGAACGATTGCACATAGTACTTCCAGACGCTGAATCAACCACTCATTTGCTGAAACATTGTGGAAAAATGGACTAGCATTTGCATCGATAAGGTGCAAATGCTCTGTGGAGAATCGATTTTCCTCTCCAAAAGCTCTGATGGTCGTTGCTCCTGCCATGGATTCAGCTAGATGGCTTGCAACTGAAGACCGTGTTGTGCCATCAATTCGCATCAACTCTTTTGCAGAAGCAAAGTAAAATTTCTGTTTGTTATAACAGATAAACCACCCTATTTGTTAGAAAGGGTAGAGAACAACAAGACGTCATCTGGAAGGAAAAAAAAAACAGGAGATGGGGAAGATGGATTTCTTTTTAATTCAGCTTTCTTAGAGAATCAGTTGAATTATTGCATTACCTGTAAGATAATGGTTGCATAAATCATTGGTGCAATGACAAATAAGATTGGCCATGTAATAACAGCCAATATTCCAAAGCTAAAATACGTGTTCATTGTTGTCCCTAGAGAAATACTGAATTTGAATGCCAATTCAAGGTCCACAATACTCAGATCAGAAGATACCTGCATAAGATAGCAGAAATATGAGTCCCATGAAATGCGTTGAAGCATGATTTTGACATCCATGAAATATTCTTACCCGACTGATTATCCTACCCAGAGGTGTTGAGTCGTAAAAAGACACTGGTGCTCGAAAAAGGGAGATCATTAACTTCGAAAACACAGATTTTGATGTCCTAAGACCTAAAATAACCACATAATAAGATCTAAGGATCAAGAAGAGTGACATGCCACAGCCGATCAGCGTGTATATTAAGATCAGGCTCAGCATACTTGTACTAGAATCCTGTACAACAGCAGCCAACCAAAGATTTTGAACCAACAGCCCTACTATATATATGATGTGGGATATAACTGCTAGGGAGAAATATAAGAAACCGTTGCTCTGATTCAGATACTGTATATAAGGTTTTAGACCAGTGTCTCCTGTTTCTCTCTCTTCTTGCTTAATCAACTGGTCTCCTAAAGATGCTCCTATTTGCTCCTCAGCAGGTAATTTTTGAATCTCTTCTTTGGAGGTTTTTGGTCTTTGTTGCAATCCATACTCGGTCTCTCCCTGAGAACCAACAGTGTCATTATGTGCAATGATAAGATTTTGAAATTCATGACTAGAAGCCAGCAACTGATCATAGGTAGCCGCCTTGAGGATTTTTTCGTCTGACATCAACTGTCAACAAACAAAATTTACCGGGACAGTTCTTTACACACAATATAGGCTAACTTACTACATAAAAAAGTGGGATTTTTAAGGAAAAATCATTCTGAAAAAGGATACTGATAAGCATAGTAAGATCACTAACCAAAACCGAACCAAAAGCAGGAAGAAAGTCGACTTGGTGGGTCACAAGTAAGACCGTCTTCCCTGACAGAGCTCCCATGATATATTCCTGGCCAAAATTATAGTATCTTTCAGTTAGAAAGCAGTTTCATAAGATGCACAAATTGCAGTTAGATAGGAATTACGATTACATTAAACAAACTGCCAGCAGTTTGTGCATCAACAGCACTGAACGGATCATCCAAGAGATACACATCTGCATCTTGATATAGTGCACGTGCAAGTTGAACTCGCTGCTTCTGCCCACCACTGAGATTAACACCTCTTTCTCCAATTATAGTGCGATCACCAAATGGAAGCATTTCGAGGTCCTTTACTAGTGAACACTTTTCAAGTACTTCTTGGTACTTATCTTGATCCATGGTGGACCCAAACAGTATGTTGTCTTGTATGGTGCCTGTTTGGATCCATGCTAACTGAGGAACATAAGCTATCCTTCCATAAACTTGAACCTGGAAAATAGAGTTGAATAAAACTTGGAGTGAAAATCATAAGCTATTTGTCTTTCCCTGGATTGACAAATAGTTATGGGCATTTGCAAGAAAATCATTCATACACACAGATCACAGGTTCAAATAACTTAACATTTATGCCCCATTTTTAATTTCTTAGCTTTTGAACAGACCAGTCCTCAAAGTTGAGTACAAATTGTATTGAAATCCATGATTTAAAATTGAAGATAAGAAGCATAATAGGGAAGACTTACTATGCCATTGATGTTTGAAACCTCTCCAAGAATTGCAGCCAGAAGGGTTGACTTTCCTGACCCAACCTCTCCACATATGGCTACCTTTTGACCAGGTTTGACAACCAAATCTATGTTAGTTAGGGCAGCCTTTGACTTGTTAGAATCCCATGAAATACTTGTGGAATTAAGCACTATAGACTTCCCAAGTTCCTCTCCAAAGCACTTCTCCTGGATATGTCTATTCCGCAATTCGGGTGCCTCAAGAAACTTCTCAATCCGAGTTAAGGAAACCTTTGCTTCAATGAACATTCCCCCAACATCAGGTAGCAACCTGATAGGCTCCTGAACAATACGTAAAGTTGCAAGAAATGTGAAAACGTTACTAGCATTCAGAGGGGTTCCAAGGAAGTAGCATGCCCAGAAAGTAATAGCCGACACAATGAGGGAAGACCACCAAAACAGAGCCAGATAGTAGCCCCTCTGTGAGAGAACTGCCGATAACCATTTATATTCTTCTTTCCTAAGCCCTTCTATAACATTTCTGAAATGTGTCTCCCAGGCATACAACTTCAAAACTTTCATGCTTGTAAGAGCCTCTGTAATGGCCTTCAGCCTGCTGTCTTGAGCCACCATAAGCTTTTTCAGGTACTTGTACTGTAATTTGGCCACCGGAGTATTTCCTACTACAGTTAGTATTACCACTAATAGGGCTGCAACAGATGCTAAACCCACAGAATAGTAAATAACAACCAATGCAAGACATATCTGAAGGCTTGTTGTCCATATTTGATGAAGCCAATATGGGAATTCACCTATTTTATTGGCATCCACAGTCACATAATTCATTATTTCTCCAGGAGAATGAGTTGTCTTAGCGGCACTTGATAGCCTTAGCTGCTTCTTGTAAATAGCTGCAGACAGGCAAGACCTTACTTGGAGACCAATAAGTCGAGTTTGGAAATACCATTGCCTCTCTGATATTGATTCAAAGCATTTTGCAAGGAAGAGCCCCCCGGTTAGAGCATAACCCTCATATTTAAAAGCCTCATTGCCTTGAGCAACCCTAATGAAAGCTCTAAGAAGCAAGGGGCTGATAGCCAGGGTGAGTACTTTGATCAGAGCAAGGAGGCCTGATGTCAAAATAGCTTTCCACTGCCACAGAAATATTGTAGATGAAATAGAGGATGAATCAGAAGATTCTTTCCTTTCCTGTATGCTCAATTGCTCCATAAACTTCAAGTAACATGTTTCTGCTCGATCTTCCAGCCTTAACTTTGGTATATCTTTGTTCTCAAGAGTTTTATGTTTACCCTTCTTCATTAGTGCATTCAACCACCAAAATGATAGTTTATTCAGGAATCCAGCTTCAGCAAAAGGAGTTACATTCTCAACCATACGAATTTCCTTGCCATTATCCGCTTCTTTGCATAGCAAAGGTGCATAGAGTGCATTTCTTTTGGTGCCTGCTTCAGTTTCTGCCTGGTTAGGTTCCCCAAATGCAGATAAGACAAGTAGAATTGCTCCCGGAAATGACAAAATGTCTAACACAATCTTTACAGATGCTTCTTTGTCCTGAATAGCTTTCGAAACAGATGGGATGCTTAGAAATGCTGCAAAAAAGATGGCGAGGATTGAAGAAATCTTCACCATGATACTATGTGGATGTTGTCCGGTTTTAAAACTCACTGTTGAGCCCATCAGGAACCATGTGAGTCCCTGGAATACCATGACCAGCCAACCATGCAGAGGGGTTATGCTCTGTTTGGAACTCAATCTCTCTGAAATTATCCAGAGCCCCATGCCCAGGTAAGCCAAACCCAAAGCGCCATTGGAAACCTTAGAAGAAACTGATAATGATAAGTACCATTTAGAGGGTGATGGGGCTTCAAATTTGGTTGATGACTTGTACAAAACAATAAATAGGAAGATGAGCAGGAGGAGACTATCAGCAGAAATGACCAAAACATGGTTGGTACATGAATATGGATGAACAATGGCAGATAGGATAGAACTACAATTGTCTCTGCCTCCATTTGAACACTGAGGGTCCCCACAGAAGATGATCCAGACACTTTCAGCCATTCTCCGATTCCGACTCAAAAACTGTTTGCTGTCAGTGAAAAGGAAAACACATCAGGCTTGTATAGGGAAGCCATAAACTTGACATCCAAAGTGCATGTGAACATCATGAAATTCAGTAAGTATAACATAGTTGCTGCCACAGATTTGGAGGAAGATCTTATTATTAGTCTGTGGCTGGAGAGGGGTGAGTTCAAGCAACAAAACATTAATATACCTCCATTACCTCTGCAACTTCCAGAACACCAACGTTGATATGATTGAATTTTGATTACGTTATAACACTAAAAGTCTAAAACTAAAATGATTTCTAAAGAAGTTAAAATCAATGTTAAAATGATTGAAAGTAAATGATTCCATTTTGTGATAGTGACTATATTGAATCGCAACCACCGTTATTTATTATGACTCTATTTTTTGAGTTCATTACTCATCGATATCTGAATTTTCAATTGTTTAAATTTAATTCATCAACTATCAATCTCGTTTTAATTAAATCAATCCGTCATACAATGAAAAGTAACACATAACATAACGTGGATAACTACATAACATACACGTGATCCGTTTGCCCCCACCAGTTTCACACTATTCTTCTTCATCCTCTGCACCTCTGCTCCTTCATCGCCTCTGCCAAAAAAGTCCAAACGGCATCAGCTAAGTTCTTCCCCCTGCTGCAACACACACGCAAAACACAAACTAACACACAAGCATATTAGCACACACATATTCACACACACAAAAGCAGATTAACACATACACACACAATCAACATATTTGTTCAATTTTTTTTGGATATTTGTTTCCTATTGTTCAATTTATCATTATTTTATTTTTTCTTTGTATTTGGTTAATTATTTATTTGTTCATATTTTAGCGGTATGCAATGATTTTTTATTAGATAGGTGAAATTGAACAATTATTTATTTTCAGAGTTTTTCTCGTATACTTATCAACTAACTTGATTTAATTCAGTACTTAAATTTATGTGAAAACTAAAAAATTTACAATTAATAAATTCAGCATTTAGCATTTAGCACTTAAAATTTAGCGTTTAATTTTTAATTTCTTACTTTTAATTTTATCAAATACCACATAAAGTGCCCCTAAACATCATATCATGCCACTCAATTTCCTCTCTCTATCTCTCTCACACACACAAACAAGCACTCGGCCAGACCAGACTCACACGTAATCGATGTCTCTCCCCAATGGTTTATAGTTATCTTTCATTTGATTGGGATTGGATTGTGGATTTTATTGGTAGTGTGATTGTGATTTTATTGTACATATAATTATAGATATAATATTGTTTAATTATTTTTAAATTTTTTATTATACGAACGATTCAATCGGTTGACCTAAATGAATCATTTTTTTTTGGGTCCAAGTGAGCCAATGAGCCGGTCCCTCTGCCAATTCGATGTTCGATCCAATTCCAAAAGTAGACAACGGCGGATCCATTGGAATATTTAAAAAAATTGGATAGTAAGTGTAATTTTTAAAATTTTAGAATTTATCAGAGATTTTTCCCCAATAATTTTTTTTAAAAAAATTATGAATAATTATGCTATTTTAACAAATATATGGATCTCACTTATCTATATCTATCTATACTACTAATAAAAATACTTTAAGTGAAAAAATTTTGATTCACTATTTTACCCTTATAAAAAATTTTAAATACCATATTATCTTTTTACAGTTAAATATTTAAATTACAATCACAATCTTATGTATTTAAATCTTTAAACTATCTTTTAACTTATCTTTTTATTCTTTATTATCTTTATATAAATATCAATATTTATTAAAAATTTTAATTCGCTACGCAATCCTTAAAAAAATATATGCATCGTCATAGGTTCAAAAAGTTCATTAATAGATCATTACTTATTTCAAATATAAAGATAACATTATGTCTATATATGTATTTTTTTTTCCATCCATACTGCTAATAATGTATATTACCAACGCAAGTTCCTTAAAATTTAAAACTTTTAATTCATTATTTTACTCTTATAAAGAATTTTAAATATCACATTATCCTTCTGTAATTAAATATCTAAATTACAATCATATGTTTATGTATTTAAATTTTCAAATTATCTCTAACATCTTTTTTAATTCTCTATTCACTATGTATAAATATCAGTATCTATACAAAAATGTAATTGACTACGTTATCCTTTAAAAATATATGCATCACTATAGTTTTTAACACTGTGTTCAAAAAATCTTCAAAACTTTCATCAATCTAAGATTACTGATTTCAAATATAAAGATAACATTATGCTTATGTATTTATATTTTTTTGTCCAAAATTTTAATAATTTCATTTTTAAGATAAAAAAATATTCTTTTATGTTGTTTTTTTAAAAAATAATTTATGATAAATCAACATAATTCTTCAATTACTATAAACTTTTCATGTTTTATTAAGAGTTTATATAAGAAAAATTATAGTGTATTTTTAAGTAAAACTTGAATTTTAGAATTTTAATATTATTTTAAAATATATATTATAGAATAGTATATTATAGTTTAAGATTAATAACACTTTTAGTCCCTGAAATATACATGTTTTATTAGTTTGGTCCTCATTACATCAATTTTATCAATTTGGATTCTAAAGTTAGTGGTTTAAATGATCTATACACAAATAATTTATTATATTTTTGACAAAAGTGATCACGTGTTGCCGTGTTGGTTATGTAATACTATTTGACGAAATACCACGTTGTCATTTTCGTTAAAAAATTTAATGGACCACCTAGTTAGGGACCATTTACACAAGGATTGAATATTTTATTGACCAAATTAACAAAATTCAAATATTAAAGACAAAATTAATAAAAAAATGCATACTTTAGAGACTTAAAGTGTATTCCTATTGACCTAACTAATTCATAATTATAGTAAGTAGTGATTAAAATATTGATGACTATAGTTATTTTGTTCAATAAATTATAAGTTGAAGCCTCATCAAATGAATTATTTTTATCTTTTTTCTTATAGTTATAACAATGAATTGTTGGAAACATAAAATATTTTTTGAATTTTATAGTATAATAAGAGCGATAAAAATATAATTTTAATAAATTTGAGATGATATTTAATATAAAAACACGTATATACTTAATATTTTTTATTAATATTTTGAATCCAAAAATTATTCACGTGCAAAACACGTGTTGCAGTAAATATATAAAAGCTACTATAAAAGACTAAAAGTGCNGATAACATTATGTCTATATATGTATTTTTTTTTCCATCCATACTGCTAATAATGTATATTACCAACGCAAGTTCCTTAAAATTTAAAACTTTTAATTCATTATTTTACTCTTATAAAGAATTTTAAATATCACATTATCCTTCTGTAATTAAATATCTAAATTACAATCATATGTTTATGTATTTAAATTTTCAAATTATCTCTAACATCTTTTTTAATTCTCTATTCACTATGTATAAATATCAGTATCTATACAAAAATGTAATTGACTACGTTATCCTTTAAAAATATATGCATCACTATAGTTTTTAACACTGTGTTCAAAAAATCTTCAAAACTTTCATCAATCTAAGATTACTGATTTCAAATATAAAGATAACATTATGCTTATGTATTTATATTTTTTTGTCCAAAATTTTAAAAATTTCATTTTTAAGATAAAAAAATATTCTTTTATGTTGTTTTTTTAAAAAATAATTTATGATAAATCAACATAATTCTTCAATTACTATAAACTTTTCATGTTTTATTAAGAGTTTATATAAGAAAAATTATAGTGTATTTTTAAGTAAAACTTGAATTTTAGAATTTTAATATTCTTTTAAAATATATATTATAGAATAGTATATTATAGTTTAAGATTAATAACACTTTTAGTCCCCGAAATATACATGTTTTATTAGTTTGGTCCTCATTACATCAATTTTATCAATTTGGACTCTAAAGTTAGTGGTTTAAATGATCTATACACAAATAATTTATTATATTTTTGACAAAAGTGATCACGTGTTGCCGTGTTGGTTATGTAATACTATTTGACGAAATACCACGTTGTCATTTTCGTTAAAAAATTTAATGGACCACCTAGTTAGGGACCATTTACACAAGGATTGAATATTTTATTGACCAAATTAACAAAATTCAAATATTAAAGACAAAATTAATAAAAAAAAATGCATACTTTAGAGACTTAAAGTGTATTCCTATTGACCTAACTAATTCATAATTATAGTAAGTAGTGATTAAAATATTGATGACTATAGTTATTTTGTTCAATAAATTATAAGTTGAAGCCTCATCAAATGAATTATTTTTATCTTTTTTCTTATAGTTATAACAATGAATTGTTGGAAACATAAAATATTTTTTGAATTTTATAGTATAATAAGAGCGATAAAAATATAATTTTAATAAATTTGAGATGATATTTAATATAAAAACACGTATATACTTAATAATTTTTATTAATATTTTGAATCCAAAAATTATTCACGTGCAAAACACGTGTTGCAGTAAATATATAAAAGCTACTATAAAAGACTCAAAGTGCCCCTTTAGTCTTTCCAGCCATTTTGTCCCGTCGTTCACCATCAAAAGAGAACTCCTCCAACCTCCAACCTTCAAGCTTCGATGATTCAACCGACAGAACCTATTCGTTCTCAATTCTTCCCTATTCCTCTTCGTTTTCTATCCTTCTCCTTCTCATTTTTTTAATGTTTCGTTTGGTATAATGAAAAAATTGAAAAGATGAAAAATTAAAGGGATAAATAAAATATCATGTTTAATAAATAAATAAAATAGAAATGATAGAAAAGTTGATGAATTAATTTTTCTTCCAACTCGTCAAAATCAATCCTTCCAAAATTAGATGGAAAGATAATTATGTATATATATCTTTTGATATATATATATATATACATTAATTTCATATAAAAATATAATGATAAAATACGTATTTTTATATATTTTTTTAAAAAAAATTAAAAATAAATTTAAAAATAAAAAATTTTCATCTTAATTAGGGGTAAAAATTTTTGACTCAACACAATGACATGACTCAAACTAGACATGAATTTGATTATATCTCGATACGAATTTGAAAATAACCTAACACGCAAATAAAATATATAAAAGTGTCATATTCAGTTCAACCAGTTAAACTCAAAATTAACTCNTTGTCCCGTCGTTCACCATCAAAAGAGAACTCCTCCAACCTCCAACCTCCAACCTCCAACCTCCAACCTCCAACCTTCAAGCTTCGATGATTCAACCGACAGAACCTATTCGTTCTCAATTCTTCCCTATTCCTCTTCGTTTTCTATCCTTCTCCTTCTCATTTTTTTAATGTTTCGTTTGGTATAATGAAAAAATTGAAAAGATGAAAAATTAAAGGGAGAAATAAAATATCATGTTTAATAAATAAATAAAATAAAAATAATAGAAAAGTTGATAGATTAATTTTTCTTCCAACTCGTCAAAATCAATCCCTCCAAAATTAGATGGAAAGATAATTATGTATATATATCTTTTGATATATATATATATATACATTAATTTCATATAAAAATATAATGATAAAATACGTATTTTTATATATTTTTTTAAAAAAAATTAAAAATAAATTTAAAAATAAAAAATTTCCATCTTAATTAAGGGTGAAAATTTTTGACTCAACACAATAACATGACTCAAACTAGACATGAATTTGATTATATCTCGATACGAATTTAAAAATAAACTAACACGCAAATAAAATATATAAAAGGTTCATATTCAGTTCAACCAGTCAAACTCAAAATTAACTTCATCAACCCATTTATTTAAAAATATGCACTTTCTCTATTTTCTCGTTTGTATAGTAACATGAAATTAACACGAAACTAACATGTTTAACTAGTATAATAGATATAAAATGTTAATTATTTGTAACTATTTATTAAGCACTGACATAATTATTATATAAAAAATATATTTTTACTTATTATTATTATATTTATTTAAGTTAATTTTTAATTTGTAGAAAAAAATGTTAACATTAATTCAATTAAGTGAAAATAGAATATTAGCGTAAAATTTTTTATTCAAAGTTTATGTGGGTCAACACGAACACGAACACGACATGAAAATAAATAGGTTAACTCACAACTTGACACAACACAATTAGTTAAATGAATTGAGTTAGGTTTGACTAATGTTCGACACAAACCCGTAATGACTCAACACGAGTCTGACATGACTCGATTGTCACCCTTAATCTTAGTCAGTATAAAAAAAAAAATTTAGTCATTTTTGATTTTCATCCATCCAACCAAATACAAAGGAAAAAAAGTATATCATTCTTATTTTCCTTTCTTAAAAGATAAAAAAAATTTCCCTCATTCTTTCTATCCTTCATACTTTCTATCATTTCTATCCAACGGAGCATAACTCTTCATTCCAAAGGCAGAAGGCTAGAAGTTGCTCGAGCCCTTCACCATTTTGAGAGGTTGTTTTCGAAGACAATGAGAGCTTACCGTAACTAGACTGTCGAGGTAATCCATCAATTACGATTTCTTCGGTTTTTGATTATCTTATAAACTTTTAATTGTTGGGGAATAATTTGAGTTTATTTTTTCCCTACCCATTGGACTTTTTTTTTCCTGATAGTAGAAATTAAACATTCCATATTCTGAAATTGAACAAAATTTTGACGATTCGATAATTTGTGTTGCAATGTATCGGGGGTATCCTCTGCGGTGGCCAGACTGGAGTTGGCATCGATGGAAGATGATATTGGCAATTGGGGGATTCAAAGATTAATATGCTGCGAAAAAAGTTAGTCATCTCCTCTTTTTTTATATGTTTATACGTTGAACTAAATTTGAAACTTGTAGACCTTTCATTTGTTTTATGTTTATATGTTATAATTGAAAATTATGACTTGCGGTCCTCTGNGTCATTTTTAATTTTCATTCATCCAACTAAATACAAAGAAAAGAAAGTGTATCATTCTTACTTTCCTTTCTTGAAGGATAGAAAATGTATCCCTTCTTTTTTTTTATCATTCATACTTTTCAACTTTCTTACCTAACGGAGCATAACTCTTCATTTCAAAGGCAGAAGGCTAAAAGTTGCTCAAGCCCTTCACCATTTTGAGAGGTTGTTTTCAAAGACAATGAGAGTTTATCGTGCTTAGACTGTCGAGGTAATCCATACATTACGATTTCTTCGATTTTTGATTATCTTATAAATTTCTAATTGTTGGGTAGGAATTTGAGTTTATTTTTTCCCTACCCATTGGACTTTTTTTTTTTTTCCCTAATACTAGAAATTAAACATTCCATATTCTGAAATTGAACAAAATTTTGACAATTCGATAATTTGTGTTGCAATGTGTTGGGGATATCCTCTGCGGTGGCGGGACTCGAGTCGGCATCAATGGAAGATGATATTGGCAATTGGGGGATATAAAGATTAATATGTTGCGAAATAAGTTAGTCATATCCTCTTTTTTAGGTTTATACATTGAACTAAATTTGGGACTTTTAGGCATCTCCTTTGTTTTATGTTTATCTGTTATAATTGAAAATTGGGATTTGTAGTCGTCTCTTTTGATTTATTTTTTACATTTTGAATTGAAATTGGGACTTGTAGCCCTCTGTTGTATTTTATTTGTTATGTGTTGAATTGAAAATATGAAATTGAGGCTAATAGTCCTCTCTTTGTGTTTTATTTTTTATATATTGAATTGAAACCGAGGCTTGTAGTCTTGTATTTATTTTTCTATATTGAAATAAAATTGGAGCTTGTAGTCTTCTCTTGTATTTGATTTTTATATGTTGAATTGGAATTGAGACTTTTAGTTCTCTCATTTGTTTTATTTTTATATATTGAATTGGAACTGGGACTTATAGTCCTCCATTATATTGAAACAACCGAAAGTGATGATCATGGTGGTGTTATATGACATTCTAAGTGAAGTCATAGTGAAATTGATTTTAAAAATCTTCCCGTACATTATGGGCTATAAGTTAAAATTTTGGATTATCATCCTAATGATCAGAATAAAATTTGAAGAGCTTATATACAAAAAGGTCTATGTCAACCTCGTGAACACAATTTTTCGCAGAGATTTTAAGTACCATTAATAATGAAATTATCATACAACTGGTTAAAATTGTATTTATAATTAAGTTGCAACAAACAAGTCAAACAAATTAATAACCAACTAACAAACGAAACTGCTTAAAATTGCCGGCCAGCCATTCAACCGTTTCTATAACCTAATGACATTTCCTAATAGGAAATTATCTGTCCTAATCTAAAGGAACTCTTATATACTTGGCATTTTTGCCTGGCTATATTGCTTTATTTACAATGTTGAACTCTCTCCCCCAATGATTTTTTTTCACATGACAGAACAAGCATTTGGATTCTCATCCCTGAACATTTGAGGGGCATAGTAGTAGTATTGCGGAGGTGGTAGAGCGTGTGAATACTCCACCATGTAACCATGACTATTACTAGGACCTTGATCATACATGGTTACACCATAATCCGTGTACAACAGAAAGGTGATTAATTATAGTCTTTTATTGAAAATAAGGTTAATTATTGTTAGTTATAATTGACCCAATAAATTTTCATACTTTGATAGATGACTTCATTATTAATGACTAATAAAATTAATGTCAAAATCACATATACGTACGCTAAAGGATATACCATGTATTTTTTTTATTTTAAAATTTTGTGAGCAAGATCACAAATATTTGCTAGGCTTTAAACTCAATGTTAAAGTGTATATCAATAATAAATGGTTAAGTTAATCAAAAGATTTTAAAATAAAACTAATATGCCCAAACTAATCCGAATATATCTAAAGTGTGTCCACCGTTACTCATTTAGGTATGAGTGTGTATTAAATGATATGATAAGAAAATAGAGTAATACTATAGGGGCCTAATTTAGGAATTTAATTCAATGTAATTGTCAGATTATTTGTGAACTTCAAGGTTAGATGGAGTTCACTTTCAATTCAACGGCTATATTGGATTAGGTCCTCAAGTTAGTTTCTAATAGCATTTTCCAAGAAAATAATTGAATGTACATAATTAGATATACTTAAAAAAAATATAATACATAATGGTAAAACAACAAATTTGAGGATGGGCATGTGCAGTTCTTAACACCGTCAAATCCGCTTAATGAATGAGTAACAACCGGCAAAAAATTAGGGCAACCTCGCTTAGGTCGTAAACCATCCCAACTCCGGTGAATTGGGCCTTTGCATTGCATTATTAAATCGAATTCATTTATAATTCGATTTGTCTTTTATTGATTTCATACTGTGGATAAATATGATTTATTAGTTGGTATGTTATTTAGTTTGATTTTGACAATTCATTTATTTAATGAGTTGAACGAATTTAGTCGTCTATCACCCCAAAATTACGATAAATAAATATAAACACAAATTTCATATCGATTTCACGTCCAATTCACCGACCATGTTCCAATCTAGTTCTAAACTTACGAGGCACAGGACCACATATTGAAGTTAACTTTGCGTGGCTTAATAGCAGACGTTCCTTTTCATGAAGGCACTTTCGTGGTAATACAAAAAATAATCTCACTACCAATCTTCTGAGAGCCCGCTAGCATTTCTGGAATGAGACCAGTACTCCTTCACAAGTTGCCCAAATAGTGAGCCCTCCTTATTCAGTAGCTTCATTGGCTTGTCATACTCTACTAATCTTCCTGTTAATGCAAAAAAAAAAAAAAATCTCTATCAATGTTATACCAACTATTACAAAGACAACACAACATTTTTAATTTTTCTTTCTTAACACGATGCTTGGAATAGAAAACTCACCATCGCTAATAGCAAGAACCATAGTGCAGTCCATCACTGTTGATATTCTATGAGCAACTGTGATTACAGTGCAGTCTGCAAATTCTGTCCTTATGGTTTTCTGGATGATTGAATCTGTTGCATTGTCAATTGATGCGGTGGCTTCATCCAGCACTAATATCTTCCTCCTCTTCAACAATGCTCGACCCAGGCAAAATAACTGTCGTTGTCCCATGCTCCAATTTGATCCATCTTGTACCACTATAATGTCGCATTTTTAGTAATATAAGAACATGATTTCTAAAGGTTTGCACCTCTATACACAATCCTACTTACCTAAGGAGTTCAGGCTCTCCTCTTTCTCTTGAACAGCTTCTCGTAGCTGACATTTTTCGAGAACCTTTCATTGGCAGAAATTACAGTAAGATTCAGTTGATAAATTGTATGGTAATTTTTTTTTCCCCTCTAATGTTAAAAACCGCAACCTTACCTCCCATATTTCATGATCAGTATGCTCGGATGAGGGGTCCAGATTGTATCTTATAGGTCCAATAAAAAGGGTTGGATCTTGTGGAATAATCCCGAAGTGTGATCTGAGGTCATGGAGACCGATTGTAGATATATTTATGTCATCGATTATGATCTTTCCATCTGTAGGCTCTACCAGGCGAAACAAGGCGCTAATCAGAGTTGTCTTCCCACTACCAGTGCGGCCAACAATTCCAATTTTGTGTCCACCTTCAAAAATGCAGCTGATTCCGCGAAGAACAAGAGGAGCATTAGGCCGATATTTGACCTGTTTTATGTAATTTGTTGGCACATTGATATCCATAAGTCTGGAACTTGCAAAATAGAGAGAAGAAATTGGTTATGTGATGCTCTATTTACCTTCAAATCATGGATCTCCACCCTACCAACAGTTGGCCAGTTGAGCGATGGCCTGTGGCCTTGTATGGTTTCAGGAGCTTCACTGGGAATATGCATGTATTGTTCTAACCTTTCCACAGAAACAATCAAATTTGAAAGCATGCACTGGCTTTGGACAGAATTAACGACGAACACATTCAATGAAAGCCCATATGACAGAGCCATTCCGATTAATCCTGCCATCACAACATTGATGACCCAAATGTTTATTAGGAAATTATTAAAATGATGAATTTATCTTTTAACAATAAAAATAAATGAGCCGCAAGACAGTATGAGAAAATTTTGTACAGGTGAAGATAGAGATCAGTAACCTGAGTCAGAAGCTTGAAAAGGAAGCAGAGTCATGGCAAGGGCTGAGGATGAGAGAACGATTGCACATAGTACTTCCAGACGTTGGATCAACCACTCATTTGCTGAAAAATTGTGGAAAAATGGACTAGCATTTGCATCGATAAGGTGCAAATGCTCTGTGGAGAATCGATTTTCCTCTCCAAAAGCTCTGATGGTCATTGCTCCTGACATGGATTCAGCTAGATGGCTTGCAACTGAAGACCGTGTTGTGCCATCAATTCGCATCAACTCTTTTGCAGAAGCAAAGTAAAATTTCTGTTTGTTATAACAAATAAACCACCTTATTTGTTAGAAAGGGTAGAGAACTACAAGACATCATGTGGAACAAAAAATACAGGCACAAAAAAAAAACACAATAAGATTGGATTCCTTTTTAATTCAGCTTTCTTATGTTAAATAAAAAAAAATAGAGAATCAGTAAAATTATTGCATTACCTGTAAGTGAATGGTTGCATAAATCATTGGTGCAATGACAAATAAGATTGGCCATGCAATAACTGCCAATATTCCAAAGCTAAAATACGTGCTCATTGTTGTCCCTAGAGAAAGGCTGAATTTGAATGCCAATTCAAGGTCCACAATACTCAGATCAGAAGATACCTACATAAGAAAGAAATATGAGTCCCATGAAATGCATTGAAGCAATTTTTTTTTTAATCTATTGAAGCATGATTCTGTCTTCTATGAAATATTCTTACCCGACTGATTATCCTACCCAAGGGTGTTGAGTCGTAAAAGGACACTGGTGCTCGGAAAAGTGATATCATTAACTTCAAAAATGTAGATTTTGATGTCCTAAGACCTAAAATAACAATTAAATAAGATCTAAGGATCAAGAAGAGTGACATGCCACAGCCGATCAGCGTGTATATTAAGATCAGGCTCAGTATACTTGTACTAGAATCCTGTACATCAGCGGCCAACCAAAGATTTTGAATCAACTGCCCTACTACATATATGAAGTGGCATATAACTGCCAGGAAGAGATATAAGAAACCGTTGCTCTGAGTCAGATACTGTATATAAGGTTTTAGACCAGTGTCTCCTGTTTCTCTCTCTTCTTGCTTAATCAACTGGTCTCCTAAAGGTGCTCCTATCTGTTCTGGAGCATTTAATTTCTGAATCTCTTCTTTGGAGGTTTTTGGTCTTTGTTGCAATCCATACTCGGTCTCTCCCTGAGAACCAACAGTGTCATTATGTGCAATGATAAGATTTTGAAATTCTTGACTGGAAGCCAGCAACTGATCATAGGTAGCCGCCTTGAGGATTTTTCCTTCGGACATCAACTGTCAACAAAACAAAATTTACCGGGACAGTTCTTTACACACAATGTAGGCTAACTTACTACATAAAAAAGTGGGATTTTTAAGGAAATATCATTCTGAAAAAGCATACTGATAAGCATAGTAAGATCACTAACCAAAACAGAACCAAAAGTAGGAAGGAAGTCAACTTGGTGGGTCACAAGTAAGACCGTCTTCCCTGACAGAGCTCCCATGATATATTCCTGGCCAAAATTATAGTATCTTTCAGTTAGAAAGCAGTTTCATAAGAAGCACAAATTGCAGTTAGTTAGGAATTACGATTACATTAAACAAACTGCCAGCAGTTTGTGCATCAACTGCACTGAACGGATCATCCAAGAGATACACATCTGCATCTTGATATAGTGCACGTGCAAGTTGAACTCGCTGCTTCTGCCCACCGCTGAGATTGACACCTCGTTCTCCAATTACAGTGCGATCACCAAATGGAAGCATTTCGAGGTCCTTTACTAGTGAACATTTTTCAAGTACTTCTTGATACCTATGTTGATCTATGGTGGACCCAAACAGTATATTGTCTTGTATGGTGCCTGTTTGGATCCATGCTAACTGAGGAACATAAGCTATCCTTCCATAAACTTGAACCTGGAAAATGGAGTAGAAAAAAACTTGGAGTGAATTCTTACCAATTTTCAGGCTTTATACACTTCTTTTGTTTCGCTCTATTGTCAAATAGTTATGGGCATTTGCAAGAAAATCATTCATACACACAGATCACAGGTTCAAATAACATAATATTTATGGCCCATTTTTAATTTCTTAGCTTTAGAAAAACTTGATGTATTGGTGAGTAAAAAAGGATACCCAAACTAATAGTAGATCCCCATATATATAGTCAAATAATATTACAAAGTGACCTAAACATCCTTGTGATCTAGGAAAAATATAAAAGTCATAATTAGGGTAAAAAAGGAAAAAAGATCCCTAATAAACTAAGCCCAATAAACTAGATTGTTATAACTTCAACACTCCCCCTCGAGCTAGGTGCACAAATGTCAACTAAGTCAAGCTTGATAACGGAGTCTCGGAGAATGGATAGAATGACAGATTTGATGAAAACATCTGCAACCTGATCACTGGTTCCCACAAACGATGAAGTGACAATACCACTGTTAACATTCTCTCGAAGAAAGTGAACATCGATCTCTATATGCTTTCGCGTAATACAGAGTCAGAAACAAGCTGAATAGCAGATCGATTATCACAATATAATGTAGATGAAGAAGTCATTGAAAATCCCAACTCGCCAAGAATTGATCGTAGCCAGATAATCTCACATGTGTCAAATGTCAGTGCCCGATACTCTGTCTCTGCTGGCAAGCGAGAGACAACTGACTGTTTCTTGCTCTTCCAAGAGATAAGATGAGCCTCTCGAAAAACATAAAATCCTGTAGTAGATCGATCGTCATACGCTCCCCCATAATCTGAATAACAGGTTAGAGAACCAGTCTGAGATCCTGATGCATAGAACAATCCAAGTTCAAGACAAGACTTGAGGTACCGAAGGTTATGATAAATTGCATCAAGATGAGGCTGACATGGTCTGTGCATGAACTGACTAACTCGGGCTGACTACAAATAAAATGTCTAGCCTAGTGTTGGCTAGATAGATAAGTCTATCTACCAACCTCTAATAGACAGTCGGATCTATTAACTCCTCACCTTCAGCAATAAGCTTTAGATTTGCAATCATGAGTGACGATGTCGGTTTGCACCCCAGCATTCAAGTGTCTAAGAAAAGATCCAAAACATACTTTCTCTGAGAAAGAACAATACTCCTACTGCTACAGGCAACCTCAATCCCAAGAAAGAAACGCAAAAATTCAAGGTCCTTCACATCGAAGGTCTTCCCCAAGTCTACCTTGACCTGTGTAGTCCCAGAAATATCATCTCCAGTAATAATAATATCATCAACATATACCAAAAAGATGACACACTATCCAGAAGTATTCGATCGAATGAAGCAGGTATGATCAGAATGACATCTAGTGAACCCTAAACGTACAACTACACCACTAAAGTGAGAGAACCAAGTTCATGGTGACTGTTTCAGTCCATAAAGAGACTGACGCAATCGACATACTTTTCCAGCATACTCCCCTTCACCATGTGTCATACCCTCACCCCGGATCACATAGGGTGAGCAGCAGATCAGCTACCGAGGCCTTAACCAACCATCCATGTGCATAATTCATGCAAAATACAGCAAAAAATAAATAATAAAATAATCTTTTTCACCGACCTAATGAATATCAGAGAAATAAACTAACATCACCGACATTATTATTAATCTCATATAAAACAATAATTAATCCATAAGGTTCACTACTCTAAGCAAACACAACATTGTTCTCAAAACAATCGAATACTTGTCTCACAACTATAAAAAAATATTTATTCCTGAAGACCTACAATAAAATAAATATTTGAATCTTCTAATCCCTTGTCTATCCGAGGACTTACTCGTCCTCCTGATCCTCACCTGAAAAATGTTAAATATTTGGGTGAACACAAAGGTTCGTGAGTAGCAACCACCTCTAATGAAGTTTGAAAATAAATTCCACATTTCAAATACACAGAAATAAACTTTGTTATATACATAAATACAATAAATTGTACCCCAGTCCCTTTCACACAACCATGNCCGAGGACTTACTCGTCCTCCTGATCCTCACCTGAAAAATGTTAAATATTTGGGTGAGCACAAAGGTTCGTGAGTAGCAACCACCTCTAATGAAGTTTGAAAATAAATTCCACATTTCATATACACAGAAATAAACTTTGTTATATACATAAATACAATAAATTGTACCCCAATCCCTTTCACATAACCATGTAAACAAAATGATCTCATGATCATAATAACTTTATAAAAGAAAAGACANCTTAATGAATGAGTAACAACCAGCAAAAAATTAGTGCAACCTCGCTTAGGTCGTAAACCATCCCAACTCCGGTGAATTGGGCCTTTGCATTGCATTATTAAATCGAATTCATTTATAATTCGATTTGTCTTTTATTGATTTCATACTGTGGATAAATATGATTTATTAGTTGGTATGTTATTTAGTTTGATTTTGACAATTCATTTATTTAATGAGTTGAACGAATTTAGTCGTCTATCACCCCAAAATTACGATAAATAAATATAAACACAAATTTCATATCGATTTCACGTCCAATTCACCGACCATGTTCCAATCTAGTTCTAAACTTACGAGGCACAGGACCACATATTGAAGTTAACTTTGCGTGGCTTAATAGCAGACGTTCCTTTTCATGAAGGCACTTTCGTGGTAATACAAAAAATAATCTCACTACCAATCTTCTGAGAGCCCGCTAGCATTTCTGGAACGAGACCAGTACTCCTTCACAAGTTGCCCAAATAGTGAGCCCTCCTCATTCAGTAGCTTCATTGGCTTGTCATACTCTACTAATCTTCCTTTTAATGCAAAAAAAAAATAAAAAAATCTCTATCAATGTTATACCAACTATTACAAAGACAACACAACATTTTTAATTTTTCTTTCTTAACACGATGCTTGGAATAGAAAACTCACCATCGCTAATAGCAAGAACCATAGTGCAGTCCATCACTGTTGATATTCTATGAGCAACTGTGATTACAGTGCAGTCTGCAAATTCTGTCCTTATGGTTTTCTGGATGATTGAATCTGTTGCATTGTCAATTGATGCGGTGGCTTCATCCAGCACTAATATCTTCCTCCTCTTCAACAATGCTCGACCCAGGCAAAATAACTGTCGTTGTCCCATGCTCCAATTTGATCCATCTTGTACCACTATAATGTCGCATTTTTAGTAATATAAGAACATGATTTCTAAAGGTTTGCACCTCTATACACAATCCTACTTACCTAAGGAGTTCAGGCTCTCCTCTTTCTCTTGAACAGCTTCTCGTAGCTGACATTTTTCGAGAACCTTTCATTGGCAGAAATTACAGTAAGATTCAGTTGATAAATTGTATGGTAATTTTTTTTTCCCCTCTAATGTTAAAAACCGCAACCTTACCTCCCATATTTCATGATCAGTATGCTCGGATGAGGGGTCCAGATTGTATCTTATAGGTCCACTAAAAAGGGTTGGATCTTGTGGAATAATCCCGAAGTGTGATCTGAGGTCATGGAGACCGATTGTAGATATATTTATGTCATCGATTATGATCTTTCCATCTGTAGGCTCTACCAGGCGAAACAAGGCGCTAATCAGAGTTGTCTTCCCACTACCAGTGCGGCCAACAATTCCAATTTTGTGTCCACCTTCAAAAATGCAGCTGATTCCGCGAAGAACAAGAGGAGCATTAGGCCGATATTTGACCTGTTTTATGTAATTTGTTGGCACAT